TGCAGGAAATAAATCAGTGGGGAAAAAATTAAAAAAATAATTTAAAAAAAATCACTGTGCAACTTGGGGAACTTTCAATTATTTGTTTGCCAAAGCAGCTGTCTATGTCTTTCCCAGTACTATGTTTGTGATAAGTACACTGAGTCAATTACTATACTGTGGCATCTCTTCATATTCATTCCAATTCATGCATCTGCTATTCTTACCATCTGTTCTAGCCCAGGAAATAAACATCTGTTTTATCATGCTATGTTAGAGAACAGCAGCTTACCTGACCTTGGTTTGAGACCAAATGGACCATGAGTGTTACTATCAGTCCTTTCATAATCCTGTTGAAAGAGATAAAGTCAATTTTCTTCCATTTATTAAAAGAATTAACTTTTGCTCCCATCAAGATAGTGTTTAAATTATTCTTGCCTAAGAAAAGTGAGTCCTTCTGCTTAACTGTAACACTCTTTTGAAGGGGACAGTATAAAATAAATGGAATAAAAGTAACCTCACTACATGCAGATAATTATCTTACTGAGGAAGAAAAGCAGCACCAGATTAACTAAAATCTACTCTAAACCATTTCAAACTACTGCAAACCATTCTGAGAACAGAGTTCTAAGCCAGCTGTAAGCAAATACAAATATCCTCCCAACACTTAGCATCGAAGTATTTCTTAAGAAATGTTTACTTTCAACTACGAAGATCAGGTTTTTCCTCATTTCACCATCTAAAAAGAGATGCACACAGTAATTTGGTATGTACATGAGAGATCTTTATTTCAACTCCTTTCACCGTATCTGGGAGATATTCTCATTCTGCTCCCTCAGGTTCCTTATAGACATGAGGTGGAAATGTTCAATCTTTGGTATGCTTTATTCAGAGCTCAGTAGTGCAATGCAACCACCGTGAGACTACGTGGACATTCCTTAAAAAGGAAAGCAACCAGTGAATGAAGCTGCAAGGCTGCACCATAAAGGCGACAACCAGAAGTGTAAAGGATGAAACTCTCTAAGAATTGTCAGTACCTATGGGTTCCCTGTGATATATAAAGTACTAAACCACAAGTTTTACTTAAAATCCTCTGGATGGCTAGTGCATAGGGGAAACCTGTAAAATATGGCAAATTCGATTTTTGTTTTATTAGCTATTTTCTTTAGGAAAGATAATGGAGACAAAGCAATGCACCTTTCTACACACCAGTCAAGAAGAAGAAACAGATATTTGCAAAGGTAAAACAAGTTGTAATATCTGTCTCTAGTTTATCTATTTTTGAATGTTTATTATGATGAAATATTTCTAATTGCCATTTCAAAAGAAACTAACAGCTTTATATCTGCATGGAAAACCTGGTGACAAGTAATGTGCACAAAGAAATGTTTGTTGAATGAAAAACAAAAACCACAAACTTGTACCTCAGACGACACAGGAGACTGTGGGGACACATTAGTATTATCACTGTCTTGCTAAAAAGAAATCAGAGATGATATTATAAAAATGAAAATTATGATTTAACAAGAAACATGAAATTATGAAATACACAAGACATGAGACACGCAACATTTGTCAAGTATGCGACAAACTGGCAGCAACTAAATTTAAAAATGTGTAAGTCAAGGAAACACTGTTCACTGTTTATGTCAAAAACTACTTTTACATTACTTCTGCTTGATGGGTGAATTAACTTTCCTATTACCAAAGCAAGTAAATGTCCTACTTTTCCCCAGTACGCAATCTTGATGACTTTCTCCAAATAAAGGAGTATAATACTTATTTCTGCTCTGGCTTTGGAATGCAAAGTTTGTTTGCATGGACTCTAGCCAGTGATCTCCTGTTCCTGTGACATGTAAGTGCTCATAAAAAGACAAACGAATAAAACGTCTTCTTAAATATTTTACACAATTACTATTTCTCACCTCATCATTTTCATTTCCACTTGAACTCTTTCTGGAAGACTTATACTGCAAAACACACAATTATTACTTTAAAATGGAAGTATGGTTTTCATTTGAACTAAATGGCTTGATATCACTCAGATGTTACTTATTACTGGTGAAACTGCTGAGAAAAAACACATTACAGAATCAAAGGAGCAAAAAGAAATAAAACAGAAAAGGAACATCTAGTTCCTAGGCTAGTCAAGATCTTTATGTTGATGAGAGGATAAGAGCATTTTCAAATTAAATACTTTTATAATGTGAACTCTGACTGCATGTGACAGTTGATCCAAGTGAAAAGATCTTAACAACTGCTACTCTGAAGCATTGTTAGAAAAATCATGCAACCCGTGAAAGTTACTTTTACAGTGTTTTGTTATGTAACTTTAAGATTGCTTACACTTTGTGAGATTGACTTGACATTGTAAAAACACTAAATTAACAAAAAAAAAATCAGTATTTCCTTTACAACTTCAAAGCCTGATCACATCCTTTTATCTATTTAAGACCAGCACTTTTTCCACAGTTCTGATTTGTTGCACACTGCCTTCGTCACTGTCCCACTTCCTGATTATCCTGAAAGTGGAGGAAATGGAGGGATTGAAGGAAGAAATTTACAAAAGCAGTATTTAAGAAAATAAGTGTTTCATTGTCTGCAGAGCAAGTGTACGAAAAATAGAAAGAAACATGCAGCCAGAATTAAAAAGATCCATCACTACAAAACCCTGATAGGTGCGTTGTGTCTACATGGCCGGCCTACCCATCTTTATGATGTAACACCTAACACAGGCTAAATTAAGAGACTAACTTTGGAACTGGAAGGATGGCTCTCCTTCAAAGATCTGACTTTTAGGGGTACATATAGGTTTTAGTTAAAAGAATTTCTTAAAAAGGAAGAAAAACCTGACTTGCAACTACGTTCTTTAATACTAATAAACACGCAAACTTACATAACACTGTTACAGAAAGTTGCATTTATTAGTTATGCATAGAAGATGCTTGTCTTCAAAGTTATAACTGAGCACTGTTGGACTGTATAATTGAACAGCTTTAGAGAGTTCAATTTTCAACAGCTTTCGAACTACATGCTGAACAATGCTGACAACAATGAACAGCATCTCTCTCAAAAATCAAAGTCTAGGACAAACATAGCCTTTGTTGGCTATCCTACTGCCATTCATTTTCTGTGCAAATTAAACATGTCTTTTGAAGAGTGATTGAATAAAGTGTCAGTTGTTGGTTTGTGGGATTCTTTTGTTGTTTTGGGTTTTTTGGTTTTGGTTTTTTTGTTTTGAGGGGGCTTGGGGGGGTGGATTTTTTTTTTTGGTTGTTGGGTTTTCTGTGGGTTGTTTTGTTTTTTGGGTTTGTTTGGTTTTTTTAAACTATGCACAGAGTACAGGTAGTTCTGGGGTCAGATAGAGACCTACTGCATATATCATTGTGTCCTGGTTTTGGCTGGGATAGAGTTCATTTTCTGGATATTCCTTGGGCTTATTTCCTGTACGTTTGCGGTACAAGGGGAATACATTACTTTGGCAGCTGATAAGGCAAAGCCTAATTTTCTATGCCTTGCAGACCTCCGCTGCTGACTTCTATTTATACAGGCCTTTGGCCAGTTCTGTGTTCATGTTTTTCCACCATAATTATCCATATAAAAGCTAGCACATAGTCATTCTTTTCCATTGTGGATACGCTAACAAGAATTTCAGCTTGGATGTAGCTACGATCCAAAACAACTACAGACTATTCTGGGGGGGTGGGGCAGGCATTTTGCTTGATAAAATTGTCTTCAATGGTAAGATTCTTTTTACATATTTAACGCAACAAAGATTTCTGGTTCCAGCAAGACTTTAGTACAATGCCACAAAAAAAGGAGTTCTGATTCTCACAGGCATTTTCCTACCCTTCTGCTGCACAGTACAGTTGCACAGTAAAAATATATAATATGTATAATAAAGATGCTTTATAAATACTTCTGGATGCTGATCCAAGTAAATTTTCCCTGTTCTAACGATGCCCATTGCAGTAATTTGGCATGTATTCTTAAGATTTTAATGTTTGGCAGTACAGATATGATTATTCAATGAGCTTTTTTGCCAAGAAAACATGGACACAATATGAATTGCATTTTCACTGGTTTCTCAGAACAGCAGTAGTACCTTTTTTTTCCCTCCAGTTTGCCATGAAAGACAGGCTTCGTTTCACTTGCTTACTGCCTTGTTTTTGCAAATGAAACTATCAGTGATACAGTATTTTTTGTTACTGGTACAGCCTGCTTAATTCACTTTTGAGACATGTCTATAGCTGTATGCAATGTGATTTCAGGTATCTGCTTCCATCACAGAGCTCAAAACTGAAATCTGTATTAGCATTTAAAGACACCCTTTAAAGTTATGAGAAATCACTAATGCAGGTCTTCTGTATTGATAGCACAGCTGTTTAATGAGTCAAATGGCTGAATTCTGTCTTACTTATAAGTTTCTCCCCTTCCCCTCAAAGGCTGCAGGGCAAAATTAATTTAGGGATGAAAACCCTGGAAAGAGGTCAGTAGAATTCAAGTTAGGATACGACCCCATACACTCTTCAGGAAAAAACATTAATAGCTCCTATAATCACAAGAATATCTGAGCTGTATGGCATGCTCTGTTTTTCCTAGAATTTAATTTCTTTGAAGTTCTGTAGCATTTCATAAAGATGTTTGATGGCAAAAGACCCAAGAAACTAATTTTGTAAGTGACAAATTTAACTCAACCTAGCACTGGTCAGAATTCTCCTATTTCTCTACCATACCCCAAAACAAATTTTATCTAATGCTGCTATAACTTCATATCTGTTTTGCAATAAGTGAACACTGACATCTGGTGACCAATGGTACACACTACAGCAGCAAAGAAATACAGAGAATATTTCCTCTCTAAAATGCAAACTAATGCAGTGAGAACCAAAATGCATAAGTCATTCTTATAACCAAGCTGCACAAAAAGGTAATGCATATTTTCCTTGCACTACAAAAAGAAAAAATCCCTCAAAATGGATGGGGAAGGACTAATGACTGAAGACTAGCTTCTGGCTTTACCAGAAAACAACTGTAAATTACTTTCTTTTATTTAAAGGATAAACAAAGTATTCGGCTGATTTTTTCCTCCTGATTTTCCTGCACTCTCACATTACCCTAAATACATAATATATATGTATGCGTATGTAACTCAAAAGAGCCAAATAAAAAATTACAGGTTACATGCAAAAATAAAAGCATGACAACCTTTGAGGTTTTCTTACCTTTACTTATATAGTTTCTTCTACTCTCATTAAAAAAAAATGTCACCCACCCACACTCCCCCCCCTTCCCTTAAAAACTCTTTTCTAATTTGTTTACTTCTCCTTCTTTCTTCATTCTGCCAAATCACTGGCTGTGTTTCTGGCCAGTGCTGCTCATCCACTGAATCCTTCTGGTTTTCTAGTGGCTATAAGGTTCAGAAATATTTTTACATAAAAGGTAAATATACCTCCTGTGTATATTTATGTATATACACATATACATATGTATACAATTATGACTCAGGTTACATGCAAAAATAAAAGCATGACAACTTTTGAGGTTTTCTTACCTTTACTTATATAGTTTCTTCTACTCTCATTAAAAAAAAAGTGTCACCCACCCACACTCCCCCCCATTACCTTGAAATACTCTTTTCTAATTTGTTTACTTCTCCTTCTTTCTTCATTCTGCCAAATCACTGGCTGTGTTTCTGGCCAGTGCTGCTCATCCATTGAATCCTTCTGGTTTTCCAGTGGCTATAAGGTTCAGAAATATTTTTACATAAAAGGTAAATATACCTCTTGTGTATATTTATGTATATACACATATACATATGTATACAATTATGACTTGTTTGCCTCTCTCAGTCTAGCTTTATGACATGAAAGTGTTATCAGTCTTAATGGTGATTCTGGTAGAAATCACTTATTTCCTTTCAAATCCTAGAACATATTTCACAGAAGTAAAAGAATCTATGAAATAATTCTTAAGAAAATAACACCCGTTTCTGCACTGAGCCTAATTTTTGCAGGTATGTTCGGAAGCCACCTAAGGCTGCCATAAATAACTTCAAAACACCAGTTAGGAGTGTGGTTAGCCACTAGCATATCTAATTTCTCAATCTGAATACTCATTGCAGAAGAAAAAAAAATTGTCTTCTTGTAGCCATCCAAGTATTTGTCTGCTGTTCCTATCTAAAAGATTATACACATCAACTAGCTGTAAAAGAAATCTCAAAGTATGCAGCGTATTCTGAAGACACAGCTAAACTAGATTTATTCTTAAAATAACAGTGAATATGTATGAACATGTCTATTTTATAAAAACTGAAAGCAGACAATCTGAAGGGACCATTTCATAATAAGGCTAAAACTACATTTCCAACTATTTCTTCATATTAGAATATCAGGCCATTTAAAACAATTGCAAATACCTCATGGATTAAAATCTAAAATAATAAAGAGTACTCTACGGTTTCACTGCAATTTTACAGTATCATGCAAGCCTCTCAGTGAGGTATAGGGAATGGAAGGCCTATATAATTCAAACCATTTAGAAACTTAAAAAAAAAGAACATTATGGTGAGGCAATAAAATTTATATGCAAAGAAATACTAAAACCAAGTAAGTAAAACTTACGCCTCATTAGTTTCAAGATCTAAAAGCTAGTACCATATGCTCCATTACATACAAGTCAAATTATCTTGAAGCGTAAGTTCTTCAAAGGTTTTATATTTTCCACCACAATTACATAAATACAGTCACTACGTGTATAAGCAACCATACGAATGTATAAAGGTTTTCTGCCAGAAATACAAAACCAAAAAACCAAAACAAAAACAATCACTCAAATATGAAGCCACCACATTTACATGTGAATATTTACCTGCCAGCTGTATGGGGACACTGGGGAATTCACTTCATCTGTTGAGACACTAAAAATTAAGATGAGAGGCATTATAAAATTTACTACTACTTTGTGTACTTTAAAACCAAGTTACTTTAAAATACCAAAAAAGTGAACACTATTAAAAAGTAGCTTCTCTGCAGCACTACAGTATTTTTTGCCTACCTGTATAAGGATGTCACAATGTGGCTAAAATGTATGACCATTTGACTAAAATCTCAAATCATATTTCATTCTCCTTTACCATATGCTGACAACAGGTCTTCCACACTACAGTACTTTATTCAGATAGAGCTTTTTCCTAAGCATGTTGGTCTTTAGAGATTACTAATACACCTTCATTGTTTTATTTCTCAAAGCAATCAATGAAACATTTTGTTCAAAGCTCACAAAATATCTATTCTTAAACTTTTGGAAGACTCACATGCTTCATTTCACTGTTAGCTCTATACAGTAAAGTAGAAACTTATAGGGAAGGGAAAAATATTTTTAATGGGACAGTGAAACTGCAAAATCTCAAAAAATACACTTTGGAACATGGACTGCCTGAGATTACTGAAAATTCAGAGGTAAATAAAAGCGTTTAGATTTGGTGTCACTTCAAATTTTTCTTTCTAAATCTGTGAAATTCACTTCTATCACCTTACCAGCAACCATTTCATTCACATTCTGACAGCTGGCTTAGCAGCTGTGCAGCATACCAAAAGGCTAACAGCTGGGGATTGAATGCAAGAAGGACATACCACCATAAGCAATTATAATAAATCCTAAAGGGAAAGCAAATAGGTGCTTAGCTTCTGCTACTTTGTATTCCTTTTCCTTCCTGTTTGCCTCAAACCAATAATGCTACTTTTAAAGCTGTTAGGTGTAAGTAATTTGTCTGAATCACGTCCAATAGCTTGATAAGCAATCCAGTTGAGAATTGCAGGAACTGACGCAATAAATAATTGAGTTTTGCGGTTGATACATATGTATCTATTAATTATGACATGTTCAATAAGTGTAAATTCTTTAGGGATATGACAGTCTTTCTACTCTCTTTGTACGTTCCTTACGCAGTGTGTGATTTGGGTTCCTATATATCAGTGCAATAAAACAACCTGCAACTTCTACCATATCTTGTGTGCACACCTCACAGAAGGGGGTGGGGAAGTGGTTGGGGGTTTTTTGGGGGGTGGGGTGTTTTTGTTGTTTTTTTTTTGTTTTGTTTTTAAGTCTCAGAACTGTTTCTGTTCATTAACAAAACAGGGAAAGGTAAATTTAACATTTCCTGGATTACCCTATAATATGAAGGCCTAACACAGCTGTAACCTACAATAGGTGACAGCATCCCAAAGAACAGAAACTGTGTGTTAAGTAACCAAGAACTGGAAAGTTCCAAATGCAAGTGAATAGTTGCAGCGTGGTTCATATAACCACAGGACATGTGCACAACTAGCTCTTTAAAACCGCAGATACCAATGAGAGAGAAGATAGCCAAAATCAGATGTATCATATTGAAATATCTACACTGTGTCCCTCTTCTGTTGGAGTAAATGCTTTCCTGATGTGTACCTGAACTGTAGAGAGCTGTTACCACCCCCAATCCTCTCTTAGCAACACCAACAGCAGTTATAGCTTTTGTCTCCAACATTCACAGCCAAACTACCGTCTGGACACAAGCAGATACAAATTCTTTTGAAGGTACAGATTTTAAAAGACTATGGCAAAAATCACAAAAGTCACCATTTGAATGGAGTTCTCACTAGGAGGCTGCTAGTAAGCTCTCCCTCGTTAGCTTAAAAATTAAAATAGATTATTTCTTGACCAAACTGATTAAAAGAACTGATCTAGGATTCGTTAAGGGAAGGAGGGCTGAAAACTTGCTAAGTTCTCTCTCACCCACGTAGTCAGAAAAGGGAAGCTGTGATTTCCCAATTTTCTAAGGACAAGGCTCTGGGTATTTTTGTTTGTTGTTGATTTGTGGCTTTTTTTTTTTTAATTCAAAGAAAGAGCGTAAGAGTACAGATCCTGAAGACAATCGACTCCTCATTGACACATCCTCCACAAACAGTAAAGGTTTTGCAGGCTGAAATCCCAGCAACACTTTTCCAACAGCTCTTAAGAGCACAGAAGGACTGCCAGGGAGGAAAAATTTAGATGCCTAAGCACAGCTACAGTATCATTTTATGTAACACAGGATCTAACATATCTGCACAGGACTGTTACCTATGGGAGACATGACCTTCTGGACTGGAACTGGATGTCTAAAACATCACTGAATGCCTATCTTTAGGCACCTGAATTGCTGCCATAATCAGACCCACAGATTAGTTTCTGGATGACATCAACTTTCCTAAAGGCTCAAAAGAACGATTTTTTTTTTTCTTTATCTGAAAGAAAGCAGCTCAAGAACAGATTATTTGTGTAGTTTCTATTTCATCTTGAGTTAAAAACATTATGACAGAAGATGGCAGTAGCAACACAAAATAAATATAAAAATTAAATTAATAAAGTATTGAAAGCTGTGATACATTTAAGTATATCAATACCATTTTTCAGATTCCATTGGCTGCTTTGGCCTGTTCCTCGTGCTTACTGAAACTGAATGATTAAGAAGCCTAGAAAGAAGAAAAATACATACTTATTCAACAGCTTTGTAGCTAAACCTTTTTCTTAGAATACATGTTACTTTCACTGCGTAACATTTCCTCATGGCTGTCAAAAATAAAAAATTTTGAACATTCAGGTGACATTTTCCATAAAATTAGAATATCTATGTTTGTACACATATGAAATCCAAGCCCAATCCTGCTTCCATTTAAAAACAATATTGTTTCCAGCTCTTGAAATATTTCAAATTCTGCATTCTAAGGAAGTATAAAACTTGATGATAATTCAAACCAAAATGAAGTCTCCTCTTATTTTTCTCCCTAAATACATACTATTTCAACTGATCTCACATCCGTGTAAAGTTATGCTTCCCTCAACACAAAGGCCCCGCTGTTCACTAAAATTAGAAGACAGAAGATAGTCAACCTAAAGCAGACAAGAAGTGATACACAGATTGAGCACAAGAAGTCAGTCAGTAGGACCAGGTAAGAAGGTAGCTGAGTAAGAAACACTGCAAGTGCAAAGGAAATATAGGGAAAAAGGAGAGGTGGAAAATGGAGAAACACAGGCTAAGAACTAAACAAAAAGTCTAATGCAGGAATGAACCAATGGAAATTCCATTTTTCTAAATGGTAAACAGTCAAAAAAGCCTAAACTTACATAGAGATTCAGAAATGTTTTTTCATCTGGAACACATACCAGACACGTGTACACACACAGGAAGATATGAGCTATTATGGATGTATAAAGTGTTAAAAATAACAAAACAATCAGTAACACTTAAAATTAAATGTTTTCAAGTAAGAATCACATTGAACAGTAACTAGAATGAATAATTCTGAACTCTTGGAGGTAGTAATATTATACTTCAACACTGACTTCATGCGCAGAACTGTGATCAAAGTATATTTACGCTGAATTATATAGAGAACTAGTATGTATTAGAATCAGAAACAATTAGAACACCATCTATTCAATGGAAGAAAGTAACAGTAAGCACCTTTTTATATTTCATTATCATTACATAGGGCAGTACAACCACTAACTTCAAATGATTGATGATTTTCAGACTTCTGATTATTGTGATAACTTTGAGCTCAGTAATCTCATTTGTAGTTTAAATCTCTCACTGTGTGAACCTCAATTTAATGGGATTATGAGAAGTTAAGCCTGTAAACCAATAGACTGCAGCATTCACAGTCTGTAACATCTGCTCCCTATATTTTGTCTTCAGAAACTTAATTTTGAGGGTGCATTCCAGAATTAAATTATACTATAGACTGAAAAATGTGTTACAAAAAATTAATATTCAGAGCATAGGTTATCAAACCATAATATAAACATGCTATTTTAAAGTCATTAATTTTTAGAGCTAATTCCCATTTAAACAAGCCTTATGTCTTCAACTGAAAGCAATGAGAAATTCAGAGAGACTTTGTAGCAAGATGTGAACATTACAATAGAATGAGCTTTAAAAAAAAATAGAAATTGGAGTTACCTAAACAACTTGATGCAACACTTGCACCAAAACTGACACTATCAGTGTAAATTCAATGATTGTATGTAACACAGGCCTTTTTTTTTTTTATACTCATTACATGAAATGTAAAGAAAAACTATTCAAGCTAATTCAAACATGTATACACACACACTTTTCAGCTCATTGTTTCTATGAAACATATATAATGTTTGAGACTATAATAAACTAATTCTATCATAAACAAAGTATATTTTCATACTTTGTAAAACAAAAACAAAAAACACAATAAATCATTTTTGAAACTTCCTGTTTAAAAACTGAAGAATATTGATGGGGAAGTAACAGGAAGTTCAGTATCTGTCAGGTTAGCAGTTACTAGTCCAGTCAGAGAAACCTGAATTTCCTGTGGAATAAGGAACTTGAAAGTTTGTACTTGAAGAAAATGGTGAAGAAAATTAATCTGAATTTACTAAATTGCAGACTAAGGAATTAATGGCAAAATAATTTGTTCAGCTGGAAGTGGGGGGAAATCACTGTAGTCATGTTAAGAACTGTCTTCCAGGAAATACAATGCAAAACTGAGTATGCAAAATGAAAGTACAAGTAGCTCATATTCAGAAGTCATGACCTTTTAAGTGTGGTGCTAATGCTGCAACGATTCCAGCAACTGTTTCCATTCATACTACAACTCATTAAATCCAAAACTTTTTATTAGACAGATCAATTATCAGGCCAATTATTTACTGATGGTCAGACTGAATCACTAAATAAGAACTTGCATAAGACACATGTTAGTACTGCAGTTAATTTCCTACTTATGGTTTCTACTAACCAAACAAATTCTGTTGTTACAGAGATAGCATACAAACTATTACTTTGAAAGGGTTCTAAAACTTATGCAAACTTCAAAATTACCCAACAGCACATATACAATGACACATACTTATATATATTAAACTCAAAACATTGTGACTCATTTTTCTAGTTTTATACCATGAAAGCATAACATCTACTCCAAACTCCTAACCAGATGGGAGAGAAAGGCGATGGCTAGACCAATTATGATATTGGAAAATATTTTCTGAAGTTTGAGAATTTAAAAAGTGGAATCTCTTCTCAGTCACTTATACTTTCATATTTTGAGCAAACATAACATCATGATTAAGGGACACAAATGAAGTGAATGATGGTAATGCTATTTTAAGGTTAGCTATCTTCAAGTTTCAACAAGCACATGCTACCTAGGATCTACAAAGACACTAGAAATATTTTACAGCGAGAGGGAAAAAAAGATGGATTTTACACTCATTCAGGAGCAGTCTAGTGTCTCCACATATGGCTCTGCTTTGTGATGGTAACATGTGCTCTTAGGGATTTAGACAGTTTTAGGAAGTCACTGCTGTCAGGTAAGAACCCATATGTAACTTTGATGCAAACTGAAACAGGCTCATTTGGTACTAGTGAAGATTAAATAATCTAAGCTATCCTACTTTCTTTTGAAACAGACCAGGAATATCCAGAGTAAGCTACAGAGTTTCAATTGATAAGGTAACAAAGTCTGAAATCACTTGATTCATCACCTACATGTCTGAGCATAGTCTACACAGCCCATTCCAGATTTCTTGTTACCTGTGAGGTTTGTGTATCTGCAAATGCTTTCCTCATGGCTGTCAAATGCAAAACAAATTGTCACTGGTCACGCTAATTTGAAAATGATCACTTTAAAACCAAGATATCTTAAATGGAGAAAAAAAAACCCACAAACTTTTGCCTGACGTTCTATACTTGAGGTACTACATATTATAAAACAAAAAACTGAAGAGAAAGCATGCCAAAGGTACAGGAAATTATGGTTCTAGGTTTGGACTCATTTAAATGTGTTTTGGAAAGTTGCCTAATTAAATATTTTCCTTAAATAGTATTTAATCTTAAAGAACGATAAATGCATTGCAATCTATTTTTGATAACAAAATATCTTAGGCTAACTTAGCCAATCCCTTTATTCTGTTTTTGTTCAAGAAATGGCCAAAACGATTTCTTTTGTCCACATTTTAACTTTGGAAATCTGAAGCTCTACAAACACTTTATACCTTGATGCACGTCCTGCCGCCCTTGTCCTCTGGAAGAGTTTTTCACTGAATGAAGTTCTATAGCTTAATGGCCTTCGTCTGTATTCACATTTCATGTACACCAAAGCCAAAGACGGAAGAAGGAAGCAGGACAGGTTGGATGGGAGAGGACAGGGAAGTCATTAGCATAGCAAGCAAAAAGAAAAGAGACTGCATAATATTTAAAAAAAAACCACACTGAACGAACAGAAATACGATTAGTAAGAAATTATTTCATGATGCTCACTTTTCTGAGGATTCTGCTTACTCAGATTGAACGTATTTTCCTCAAATAAACACAGAAATATCTTCACTAAACTTCTAAATATTATTCTTATTGCTGCTTATGACAAAAAATAATAAATTCACAAAACTATGGATTCAAAATCAGGGCTAAATTTTATATCAGAGGTGATTTTGCCCTCATGTACTTAAGGATACATAAGAAAGCTATAAAATTTAAATGCTAAACTAAGAAGTAAAACTTAACAAGTAGTAAGATTGCATATGTCTGAACAATTCAAGAGCAAAACAGAACCATTAGCAAGATCACTGCATTAAGATACAACCTATGACAAATAAAATTTAAGCTGCAGTACGGCAGAAGAGGAGTGGCTTGGTATTTCAAATGATTAGATAACCAGGAAATATTAAAACTAATCAAACAAGACCCACATACAATATAAATAACCATCACATAAAAACCTAATATAAGAAAAAGACACTTATTCTCTCTTTATTAATAAATACAAGAAAATGTAGCATTCTTAATCTTTTTTGCAATACTCTTGGTAATAATAATGTATTAGCATTAAGATTTCATTCTCATATTTTCCCTTCCCAACATGAACCAATTGTTAAATACACTGCATAGAGTTATAAGTAAAACCTATTTTATCTTTTCCACACACTACTGCTATTATATTTAATTATATCATATTATATAAAACGCCAGTGAATTTTTAAACCTCTGCAATTCATAGTATCAGGATATCAATTTCTCTAAAGGCTTTACATGTATTTCAACTATCTTAAAAGAAAAACAGCAGTGCAGAATCTCATCGTTACACAGAAATTCAAAAGAAACAAAAATAGTATTTAAGCTGGTATGAAGTTAAATCCTTTTCTGTGTGTTAATGAATGACTGTAATGAACTATTTTAGTTAATGAATTACTATTAACTACAACTTTTACCTTTTGGGAAAGAGCTTACTCTCACCAAAGTACCGCACTGGTTATTTGCCTGCTTGGTAAAGGAACCAGAGAGAAATCGGTTCCTATCCTAGCCTGTCCACATCCTATGCAACTCCAGGTATTCCTTCCTGCTCTTCCTTTTACACAGTTGTTAACTTGTTCTATTACATTCCTTTAATCTGCTGCTTGTTCTACAGCTCCTTTTCAAAAGTCATTCTGTTGTGATGCCCAACATGAAGTGGAGAAAATCAGGCAGTTCATCAGGATGAACTTACACTGTTCAAATTATTTATTTTTATATAAAATATATAATTAAATGCTCTGTCATTTGACAGACTAATGTTTGAACAAATTTCCCCTTTAGTCCACAGGAAATTTATATCTCACATCAGACTGAATGGAGGAAGTACCACCTAAATTACCTTGTATTTGAATAAAAATAACCAGTCACAAGCAAACTGTATGCAGGTTCCATAACTCATACAAACTACGACAAAGTCATTTTAACGTGTTACCAATAATCTACTTATATGAGCATTAACCATGCCTACTTAAGTATACTGCTTTGAAAAAAAGTATAAAAAATTTACATACATCAAACCAGGAAATCAAGAGACTTTCACATTCATCTCTTCCTTTCCATAGGAGGTATATTACTGCTTCTCTAGACAGCAATTTTATGGAAAGAAACACAGGACAGGTATCTTGAAAGAGTCTGTCACTAACTGTTTAACGGCTGGACAAAACTGTTCATAAATGATAAGGTGTCAAGAGCTTTTGGGTATAAGGCAGGTTAAAGAATAAATTAATTGTAACACAAGTTATCTTAACTAATATTGTAATACCTGTGTTTTTGTTCTTGCTGCAGTAACTGAGCTGCTATTTTTCTTAAGTCAGTCACTTCTTTGAGTTCATCATCATCCTCAGCCAGCAGCTGTTCTTTCTGAAGTCTGAAAAACATTAGTGCTTTACTAAGTCAGGCAAGTCAAGACACAGAAATGGCAACATTAGCGGACAATAACTAAAAAGCGTTTCCTATAAGCTTATTTTCTGTCCAAGGAGCACTATGTGTTCAATATGAGATTTCTTTCCTCCATATGCAAGAAGCTTAAAGCAAAACCACCCTCACCTGCCACAGTCAGTAAAACCTTCCCAAAAAAGATCAAGAAGATTTACCTTTTTTCATCTGCCCAGTCCTCATTCTGTTCTATTTTCTGGGATTTCTCAGTATGTTTTCCCCGTTCCTTACACAGAATGAAAAATAAACTTAGACTTGAATTAAAAAAAAGCAAGCCTGCTGAATGGTTTTTCTTTTGTCAAGCTATGCTACCTTGATATAAGACAGCAATGGTCCAATCTGTACATCTCCTTGCTCAGGAACAGCTCCCTCTTCTGCATTCGGATCAATGTAATCATACACCTCCTGGTCTAGTAAGGATTGATGAAGAATGGAAAAGATGATATTAAACAGTTCTCTCAACCAAATGTTATTCCTGAGAGAGACAGGTACTTATGAAAAATGTCAGATAAAGATAAAACAATGAAATCATGTCTCCTTGAGCTAGAAATAATCTTTTTTCTTTCTGGCCTTGTCTCTTTGTGATTATTACATTGTTTTCTGAAATGATGAAAATACGATGCCAACATGTGATCGTATCATTTTGTGCAATTTTCTTATATTAGTTTACCTAAGCAAAAGTATTTGTTACCTAAAATGACAGATGCACAACAGATATTACCTTTCTGTGGATCGAGTTTACTTCCCATTACATGATTGTCATTCCTTAATGTCTGTTCCCTTGTTGATTCTGATACCTGGGAGTGAAGGCTGATTGTATCATCATCAGATGGCTGCAAAGACAGTCACATTTAATACAGAACTTACATATAAATTACATTATTACATGATTTGCTAAGAACTCACAAATTATAGAGCACCTGACCCTATCATGAGGGATGGCTCCCAGGACAGAAAAAATAACATCAAGTCAGGTGGGGGTTTTTTTTGGGGGGGGTGGGAACGGGGTTTAAGAGAATTATAGCTTAGGGAGTGACAGACAACTGTTCAATACATAATATAATACTGAAATACAGTGTTTTGTTCAAAGAGGTCCAGTCCAGCCCCTGCCAGTGCACTAAGAAAACTGTACTTAGATACTTTCTTATCTAAAGCCTCCAACTACTTTGACTTGTTAGGCCACTGGGGAAAAAAACAAACAAAAAAAAAAATCACAGCTTTACTCCTAATCATTTGGAATTTTCTTAAAAAACCCAACTAGTAATACTCCTTGTTCTACAGTTTTCCCACTAACAATCACTCTGCATTTGTAATAATTCTCTTTATAAAGTTTCAAAAAAATCTTTTGTTCTACACTATTCAGCTTTGACATCACTGTTATTAATTACAGTTCCTCAATCTAGATTTCTACAAATACACAGATAACTTGTAGGGATTTTTATTCTTCACCTTAAACCTATCAGATCATCCAGAAGTTTAGTAATCCTCATTGTTGTTTAAATTTTAACAACATATACAACACTCAAGTTTAGTCCAAATAAACTTTCGTTTTCTTACGTACATTCATTTCATTAGTAACAAAAGAAAGTTTCAAATAAATTTTGTCCTTTGTGTAGACAATAAATATGCACCTAACACATTAAAAGATCCAAACAACTCCTTAGGTCAGAATTCAGTTTTAAAATGTATGAAATTTGGACTGGAACGAACCTTAACCAGAAAAAGTTAAAGCAATATGTAAATAATTTGTGTCTGATACTGGCAATCTAATGGTTTAAACTCAACTGTACAGATATTCAAAGAACATTAAAAGCAACTTAGTTATTTTTCAAATGATACAAAATACAAAGGAAAAAAATTCTAAAAAACAGAAATCACACAAATTCAACTGAAAAACACTCACTTCCGTTGTGGACAACCTTTTATCCCCATTATCACTTCCAATGCCAGAGTCTGGTCCATGATTTTTATTGGGATAAAAGTCCTCCATGCTACATTAAGAAAAACAACACACAAAAAACCACACAGGAATAAAAGAAACAGTAGTTTCACTTTTATAAAAGAAAATAAACATCCTTTTAAAAGTATGTTCTCTATACTCATCTACAGTTGCTGATACAGAATATTTGCACAATGCCCCATGTGCAAAGAACAAATTCTTAATCTCCTACAAGAGTTGTTCAAGAAAAAAGTATCAAAGCAAAGTTAAAGTGGAAGTGTATTACAGTACACTCTCTGTATCTATGCAATTTTAGAATTGTTCTACTTCATTCAAAAATACTGTCTTGAGAAAAGAAGGCTTCCTTTGGAAAACTGCAATTCCTTGAATTCTATTGGCAGACATGGTTTTCTATTAGTAGCAAATATACCTTCCCTAATAGACTGTCATATTATAATGGTTTAACTGCCTGAATATCTATGAAATATTTCCTCCAAGTTTATGCCTTTCGAAGATGCAAAATTGACATCATCAGTCTTCTAACTGTGCACTGGAGCTTGGTTTACATTGTAAGATTATCTGGAAAGTTTAATTAAACAAGTTCTCACTACTACAAATATGATATACCGTGGTAATACCCACGACTTTGTTCCTTTGCAATACATTTTAGCTGTAGGCCTAAAGTTCAGTGGAGGCTTTTGGGGAGCAGTTGTGGACTGTAGTTTTTAGGAGCATTTAGAAGCTATCTATAGGCACTATGGACTAATTCCCTATGGCACAGTTGCCCAAGACCAAGACCATGGACTGAATCTGATGGTTCAGATGATTCTGTGTAAGCTTTATTCATAACTTTCATCTTTCCTTCAGCATTGAACACAGAGGCACAAGTTGCATGTGACATTTTAAGAAAACAGGCAAAGAGAGTGTATTGTTCCATATGGTTTCCAATGGCAAGCCAACTGACAACAGAAAATACAAAAAGCGTTCCTATTTAATTACTCAAGAGGTACTCAGTACAGAAGTCCAATAAAATATTCTGCACTTTTTGACCTCAACTAATCTAATAAAAAGAAATCCATGGTATTTCAGTGACATTTAAGTTAGTTTCCCTAAATATATATGTGGGAGGCAGACTTTCCATCCAACAGACTAACTCTATATTCCAAGACTTTTATGGGAAGTTCTCATCTACTGTTTTGACATATCTGTTTGAGAAATAAATAGCTAAGTTTTCCAATAAATAGATTTAAAATACATCTTTGTTCTGATTTCCAAATCTTTAGTGAGCACAAATCTTTAGTGAGTTTTTTATTTCCAATTCAATAAAATTTACTTCAGAGACTAGTTTCCTAGACGAGATAACAATGATAGATATCTATTCATCTGATTAAAATCAGCTTCCAGTTTTTCAAGACAAGCTAAGTCAGTAACAATGAGCTGCTATGAAAATTTTTCATAGCAGCTCATCTGAGCCAATTAAGCTTCCAGTAACACAACCTTAGAAAATAAATATTATGACTTCTAATTGTTCTTTATTTAAAGTGTTGAAATTACAGCTATTATCTTTAACAAACAGATCACTTTGTAGCAAATGCTAAAGTAAAATAAAACAAAAAACCCACTCACCTGTCTGTGAGTGGCTGGGAGGGGATTCGTTTACCTAATGACGGAAGATCCAAAGAATCTGGTTTTTTATCTATTCTGAGGCACGCCTGAATGCTGAGGAATTTAAATATATGTACTTTACCCTTTAAACATATCTGTTGGGAAAAAAATGAACAACAAAAAAATCTTAATTACATAGCATGTCTTTTGAAAATGCACCCCAACAAATACTTTCTACACTGAGTTTGTACCCACAACTTCCCACTAGGAGAAATACAGCCAAAAAAATGAAAACTTGATTGGTGTAACTTAGAACAGTTCTTCTTTCTTAAGATCCTAGTGCAAATTTCTGAACTAGAACACTTTAATACTAACCTGTGCTGGTGGTATCTGCATTGGATTGTTATCCAAAACTATAACTTGTAAGTGACGTAACTTTCTGTAACAAAGTGGAATTTCTGTAATTTTATTACAAGAAAAATCCAGCTTTACCAAGGGAAGCTCTCCTAATTCTGCATTGGGGGAAACAAAAAAAAAGGAATCAAATCTCTTCTTAACACTTTACCTAATTTACCTACATCAAAGAAATGAAGACTAGTAGCTTACCATCTGGCAACATATGGAGATTATTTCTTCTTATGTTTAATTCTCTAAGTGACTGCAATTTTCCTATCTGCTGGGGAAGAACTTGAAGTTCATTGCAGCTAATATCCTAAGAAAGATATAATTAATAAATTAACTGAAAATCTTAAATTAAATTAAACAAAGGAAAACTGCTATCAAAACTACTATAAAGCATACTATAAAACCAAGAAATCCTCTCTTTCTTGTTTTTTCCACAAAGGGAAGTAGTATCATAACAGATTTCGCTGTTTCTTCAGCATTTAGTGATTCATGTTTCAGAAACTCAATTCAAAAAGTTAAACCAATGAATGATGAAAGACTGATTTTATGATTAAAACTGTAGCCTAGGAATCAGGAGTTCCTGGTGTAGTTCCCATATCAGTTAAAAACTTCTTGTGCTACTGCTGGCAAATGATTTGCATTCTGCTCCTTTTATAAGAATTCTTCTTCTGTAAAAAACCTTGAACCAATCCATGCAACTAAAAATTTACAAAGAGTAGCAGGCTCACCAACTTGTTAGATACAAGCACTAGAGGATGACAGAGCTGCACCAAGCAAACACAGACTACAGCTATTTCTGCCACTAATTTAACATTTATGTAGTCCAGACCAAGTCAACAGTCACGTTGATATGACTGTTTCTAACCTTTTTTATTTCCAATTCAATAAAATTGACTTCAGAGACTAGTTTCCTAGACGAGATAACAATGATAGATATCTATTCATCTGATTAAAATCAACTTCCAGTTTTTCAAGACAAGCTAAGTCAGTAACTAGAAGCCAGGCCTTAACCAGACAAATCCAGCCTCCTTCTCCACTACACACTTCCAGACCTTCAGCTTAGGCACTGCTCATCTACTTTTGGCAACAACGATGTCTGCATAGCTGGACGTCTCAGAAAGTACAGGCTGCTTGGGATCAACTGTTGTGTATCTATTGCAAATTGTTCTCTGTCCATATCACCAAATTTAAGGTGAGATTTCCTTGCTAAAAGCATCTTTCTAGCGCGTGGCTTAGTTGTCAACTTTTTTTTTAATTATATATATAACTTATGTTCTAAACAGGTGTAACACAGGTACTGGAATGAAACTGTCTGGTATGTCCTTAGTCTGTGTCATCAAGCACACATTCTAGGTTTAACAATTTTGAAAACTAAGCCAAAAATACAACTGCAATTCTGAAAAACGTTCACTTCCTGTAAACAATAGCAGTCATCCCATCTTGAAATCCTATGACGCTCAAGTGAGCATAAAGACTTTCTCACCAAAGAGTAGAGGACACTAGAAAAGCCTCACAAACATTCAGAATATCTCATATTACTCATAAATTAAAAAAAAAAAATGTTGATTTATAGCTCAGAAATTAGGTTGTGTTACAAGAAATCTCCAGGGCATACACAGCTACTCTGGAAACAAGATAAGGACTGCTTGCAATGACCAAAGAAATCATACATACTGAAAAAAAACCAGACCTAGTCCAAGTGCCACGTCGGTGAATAATTGTGCCTACTTCTCCAAAACACATGAGCTTAACATGGAGTAATGATCAGAAAATCCCAGAACATTAAGAAATATAGAGAAAGTAATGGATGACAAAGCACAAAACTGTAGTATGCCATAGGATAAAAATCACGTTGCACAGACACAAACTGTGAATTTCACACATCATTCTATTCACCCCAATCAAAATAATGGAATAGCAGAAATGGGGAAAAAAAACCACCACAGAACAAGACAACAATGATTGAATGGCACAGCTTGTGTAAGAGTACAGAGTAAATAGAGATGAACTCTTCAGCTGGAAAGAAGATTGCCGATAACATAAGAAAAATAATAGAATTATGATTACTGTAAGGAAGGTAAACAGAAAAATTTACCATATTTAACAACATACAAGCAAGGGACTCAAATGAAATAATCTGAAGAGCAATTTTATTTATGAGCCCCTTAAGTTTTAGGTAATCCAACATACTGATTTGTGTTTAACCCCATTTTTGAAACTCTACAATATATTATGCCTGTAATTTGAGCTCAAACACTAAGAAAAAGCAGTAACTGAATTTACATTTTGTAGTTCTATATTTCAAAAATTATTAATTTATATTTTCTTTTACCGTAAATAAACTGCTTATAGTTTAAGTTTACTTAGTAAAATGGTTCACAACTGTACTTACCAACTCCATTAGATCTCTCAACTTTCCAATTTCTTCTGGAATGGAGACCAGCTTATTATTACTGACAACCAGAACTTTAAGTGGAAGATCAAACAGGTATTTTGGCAACGTTGATAAAAGATTTCGACTTGAAAGAAAGAAAAATGAACAAACAAGGCTAGAATATAATCTTTTTAAGCCTGACGGGGAGTCCGAGATGCGCATTGCACAACTTTTCTCCTATTCCAGAAGATATTCTCCACCTATTACAATTTCATCTAAATTTAAGCTACAATCTCCATCATGAATTCCTTACCAGATAAAGCCTCTCCGATACATGAATTTTAGGTCCCTATCTTGCTTGATGAAATGAGTATGTACTATAACTGAATCTAACACTAAAAGGTACAGAGAAATCTGTCAAAAGAAATATGTTTGATGTTTGCTTTTATTCTGCTTTCTGGTACCTTCAGAAGGACCACCTGATCTAACAGTCTACCAATATAACCTTCTCAGCAAATCAGAACTTTATACAAGGCCATTGCTTCTCATGTCACATGGTCATGCCAGTCCTGAGCCATCACAAAAAGCCCTTAACATTTATTTATTACTTTGCTGAGCAATAGTCTGGAAGGTAAGTTTTAATTAAAATTTATTTCTTTTGTGTATATCATTTTCCAACTGCACACACGTATGTCTGCTTTGTACACAGGAAATATACTGTTCCTAACAATTTGAATTAAATCCATATTGGGAAAACTACCAAGTGCAGACTGTCACTGTGTCCTGGTTTCGGCAGGGATAGAATTAATTTTCTTCCCAGTAGCTGGTACAGTGCTGTGTTTTGGATTTAGGATGAGAATAATGTTGATAACACACCAATGTTTTAGGTGTTGCTAGGTAATGCTTACACTAGCCAAGGACTTTTTAGTTTCCCATGCTCTACCGACTGAGCAGGCTGGAGGTGCACAAGAAGCCGGGAGGGGACACAGCCAGGACAGCTGCCCCAAACTGGCCAGAGGGACATTCCATACCATGGGACGTCGTGCTCAGTACAGAAACTGGGGGAAAGCTGGCTGGGGGGGCCGCTGCTCGGGGACTGGCTGGGCATCGGTCGGCGGGTGGTGAGCAACTGCACTGTGCATCACTTGCTTTGTGTATTATTATTACTACATTATTATTATTTTATTTCAATTATTAAACTGTTTTTATCTCAACCCACGAGTTTTTCCTCACTTGTGCTCTTCCAATTCTCTCCCCCATCCCACTGGGGGGGGGAGTGAGCGAGTGGCTGTGTGGTGCTCAGTTACTGACCGAGGTTAAACCATGACACTGCCAGAAATACATAGAATTTTTCTAATAAGGTGCTTGTACATTTAAAAAAGCCATCGGAAAACCAGCTTGTTCATATGTGGTATGAAAGCAATTCTTTTCATACATAAAAGTAAAAATTTCAGTAATTGCTGTTAATTTAAGTAGAACTGTGTGGAGGCCAGAAGTCTATTAAAAAAAACCAAAACAAAACAAACGACTTAAGTGTTGACATTTGTGTTCACACTATATTAAGAAAAATCCAGAAGTTTTACTGTTTAATTGATATGTACCAGAGCACTGTTGTCATATTTAAATCAAAGCTTTTTACATTATTTTCTCCATGACTACAGTTTATAAGGCTGCAAAACCAACAAAAATAAATTTGTCCTTGCAACTTTTCAGCTTCAAAGTAGTACTGCAATTTTAATACCATAAAATGAATCTAACTTCTATCAGTATCTTTATAAAAGTAATGTATGTATTCTGTTAATTCTAAGTGAACAATACAAATAAGTTTTGGATGTAGGTATACAATAAGTCTCCTTTTTTATGTTGTATTTCAGGCAGATATGACAGGTTTTTTGGTTAGAGAGCATGAGAAGCAAAAATATAATGTGCAAGTAAACTTTAATTTATTATAAAAATGTGGCAATGAAACAGTCGTTCTCTGCAACAGAAATAAATTCCCTCTGTTTTTTGTTTTTTTTAAAAGAGCTGCCTACTTTACTACGAATTGCACAATACATTTCTTCAGTCATCTGAATCCAAAATTAGAATTTGAGATCACGTGGTTTTCTTCTGTAACAAAATATTGAAACTAATAAGCCAGGATTTTAGCCTGTTCTTCAACTACTGTAGCCCACATGTGCATGCTTTGTGAAAACAGTCCTCAGACATTAGCACAGAAATGAAGACAAAGCACAGTAAGGCAAACGATGATTAGAAGATTTTACTCTTGAAATAACATGCAATGCCCAGTTAGAACTATGCGCTACTTTATTTCTGCGTAAAGAATTGTATCCAGCACCTCAATTATCATCAAAAGAGAAATGGGCTGTTGCTGCCCTGTGAAGAAAGTTAGGTCAAATTTCTTTCAGAAAACACCAAGTTTTATCATATCATTAATCCTCCTTAGAATTGCCACAGAACAGACTACTCTTAAATTATCACTGTAAGTACTGATATTTGCAGATTTTGAGACATAGTTCTTTACTTTTTTCTTTTCCAAGGATCAAGTCACAAAGTTTTTTCAAAATAAATTCTGGAACCAAATCTCACATGTTAAATAGCTCTTAGCCAAGAAGACTGTTTCGGGCTTGATGCAGTCAACACAGGGAACAAGGAATACTGTGGAAAACAGGGTCTCGGCTCTTTATGGGAGGGTTCTTCTAGATTCCCCCTCCTTCCAGAGCTCATATTAATCTTCTGTTCTTCCGAGAAGATCCAACCATATGTTTTCCAAGTTTAAGAACAGCAATACAGCAATGGATGTAAATAATGTGCAAAATAGGGCCTTTTGGACAGAGTAACCTACCCTCTTGAGAGCAGCAAATTTTTACATGTGTAGTTTCTAAACATTGTCTGTCTGCCTAACATTAAAAACAAAGAAAACTTTGTAAACTCTCCTTATCCCCAGCTACCATAGTTTACTGACTGAAATTTCATAATGCAGTCAATTCCCCCCCACAAAGGAAGCAATAACTGCTGGCCCTACAACACCAAGAATAAGGCAAAGGAACAGAATAATTTTATCTATCTGGGCAAAACATGAGGGCACAAGGGCATTCAATGACCTGATGAAGTAGAAGGACACCCCCTCCAATGGAGTTATATAAAGACCAAAAATAACAAGAATTACTCACCTAATGTTAAGGTAGGTAAGCATTTGCAGGTTTTTAATAGATTCTGGAATGGATTTGATGCAGTTGTGATACAAATTTAAAGTTTCCAGTGGTGCAAACAGCCACACATCAGGAGGAATTTCAGTAAATCTGTTCTTTGAAAGATCTAGAAGCAGAAGAAAAAAAACATCTTTTTAGTCAAAAATTTCCCTGCAGCGAGAGATAAAAGTACCCACTGTTACTCGTCATGCCCCTAAAAATTAAGGTGTTGCAAGAAGTGTAAAATAATTCAGTTTTACCAGATGCTACTGCATATAATTAATACACAAAAAAGACTTAAAATACTAAGAGATTGTTGTTTGATATGCAATTATAACAGAAAACAGAAAAAATGACAGGAATTCAAAAATGTATTACCCACTACATAAATAAGAACATTTAAAAATGCAGCTGAATATCAGTTTTGATTGTCCCTCCTCTATCACTCTTTGTTCTTTGCAACTGTTGGGTTTTTTTCCTCCAATTCTTGGCACAACAGTAAGTCAAGGTACAAACCCAGTAAACATTATTTTTCCTGTTTGATAGCTACATTAGAATCCGATTTCATTGTACAAAATATCTGCAACACTAAAGCCAAGTTTGCAAAAAACCTTACGTATTTGTTTTGCTAAAGAACTACAATTCTCATCTAAAAAATATTCTTTATTGCAAGCACAGTAACTGAGACATTCTCCAGTTACACATTTATAACTTAGGCAAAAAGATAATAAAGTCACAAAAACCAATGCCAAATGCATTTAGCTATAAAAATAAGGATGCAATTTAGTCTAGCCTAACAGCAGAAGGAGATGATATCTTTGACAGTGGAAACATAATACTTGAACTAGAGTTATTTTGCCAATGCATGACTGCATTGTGCAAATCTGCATGCAGAAGATATGAAAAACCAGTACACTACAAAAATGCATACCATCTCTGACTATATGAAATCTTTAAAAAGACCAGAAAATTCAAGTGGGATGTGACCCAAGAATCCTGGAAATTTTCAGGTAACTACCAGAACCTGTGTCATAGAAAGTCCATGAAACTACCTTGGAAGAAAGATGTTTACTGGAGAATGACTGTCTACTTTTTTGAAAGTAACCCTGGTTCCCAACCCAAGATATTTCAAAAGGATGTGGTTTCTCAGAAACGCTGAACAAACTCTTTTAACAAAGAAGCAATACAGATCCCTTGCTATTTCAGGCTTTAGTTCTCAGTTTCTAACACTTGCATGAAACAACTGTTTCTGCTTAGCTCCTACCACATTATCATTGGAACAAACATACAGTTTGTTCTACGTTAGACTGAAAAAACAGACTAGAAAGTGGCTGGAAAAGCGGCTCAAAGTCACTGTCAGGCTCAAAGAGGATAGCTCAACATGCTGCTATGAGCAGCATTTCTCAGCGCCAACACTGGAATCAGCATCATTTAGTATCTTCATCAACAACCTGGAAAACAGGATAGAATGTGCCCTCAGGAAGGCCGGACAACACCAAGTTGGAGGGAGTGAAGAGGCAACTCACATGCTGGAGGGATGGGATGCCAGCCAGAGTGACCTCGACTGGCAGACACCCCATCCAGTTTAACAAAGGCAAATGCAAAGACTTGCACCTGTGGCAGAATAACTCCTCACACCAGTGTGCGCTGGAGGACAAAAGGGTAGAAGATAGCTTTGCAGAGAAGAACACATGATGCTGGTACACAACAGGCTGAATGCAAGTCATCAGCGTGCCCAGAGTGGGGAAGGCCATCCACAGTGTCCTGCAGATGCCCATCAAATAAAACGGTACAATGAAACATCACCTTCCAGTGGCATTATTTTTGGAAGTAGCCTCAACTTTGCTTCCTGAAGTCTACAATATGTGAAATTTGTGAGCTAACTGGCTGTCACTCCATCATTCCATCATTTCTAAGAAACATTCTCAAGCTAAAGTATCACAAAGCCTTCCTTTAGATCAGGGCATCCACTGCTGACACTGAATTCTGCAAACTCAAGCTGCAAGAGGCAGAAAGAGAAAGATTTATGTTGCAGGACTGGCATTCTTAATGAAGTGAATGAAAAATGGAATAAAGCTAACTAAAACTAAACATCCCAACTAAAATTAAAAAGCTTATTAAAAAAATTTAGCATAGCTTGAGAAAGTTTTCACAATAATGAGGTTTGTTTTATATTTTCCACCACACCAATTTTCAAAACATTATAGAAAAATGGCAGCTTTCACATGAAAGAATTTTCTGCAAAACCCTTTTTAGGTCAAACAAAGGCTCTCTTATTCTAATATTCAGCAGAGTAGGATAACTGTGTGTAGAAAAGATGCACACAGTTTTATTGCCGGCACAGTTCTACAACCTCCACCACATGATCAACAGTCCCATTTCTGAAGAAATCAGCTCTAAGGCTCTTCCTGATTTTGTTTCAGCAGCAGCTGGAAAGATAACTGAAGGCTAGTACAAAGATCTAGTCCACAAAATACAAATGACAGATTCCCACCCTACTGCCACTGATCCAAAGAGCAGTACTGTAGGTTATATCTGAACTGGAAGATTCAAGAGCACCATGAAAATTCTGCCCCTGTACGTGTATCCAGCCATACCCCAACAACACATTTTGGAAAGACACAGGTTAAAAAAAACCAGCTTTACCATTTCTTCTGCAGAAATAAAACCCAGAGGTGGGCCAGACAACAACTATAGTGTACACCAACTCCCTACTCTGGACAATGAGTGGACCAGGACTGTGGTACTCAACAGGCAATATAAAACCAGCTGTGGTTTATAGCCTGGCTTGACAAACATCACATTAGCAGAGTCTGGTTGAAGTCCCTTAGTGTACGCTCATACAAAAACAATACAATTTCCCATTAGAATATACAAATATTGTGAGATTGGTATATATTACTGTCAAAAACACTTCCCTGAAAACAATGCCTTAAGACACTGTGGAGCAAGGATTCCATTTTTCCATTATGAAAGCCAGAAGTCCTATTAAAATAGGAAATGATACCCACTACCTGTCAATAATAAAATAAAAAAGGTAAATAAAGAGTTGGAAGATAGTATGACTTCTCTTCCAAGCAATTTTTCATTCATTCATTACAAAACGGTATTAGAATAGCCCCAGGAGTTCAGATCTTTCTAAAGAGAAAGATTGAAGTGTATATAGTTTTCCACAACATTCATATATCAAATGTACTTACAGCTTTTTAAAAAAAAGTAATCCTATTCTTTACCCAAACTGAAAAATGACTTCTACTCCAGAAATGTTTTCACAATGAGCAAAAAATTTGAGTTCATCCATTATGCTAAACAAAATGTAGATGTGAAGCTTATGCAATTTAGATACCTTTTGAAGACTAATAACCCAATGTATGACTGAGAAAATATTATAAGAAAAAAGGAGGAAACTTCTGGAATAGAGTGTTCCTCTATAAACAAGATAAACTTCATTGCAATCAAAATGGAAGCACGTTGCTGGCACTTAAAATGAGAATGGTTTTGTAAGGGTTAATAGACTGAAGCAGCAAGGAAAGCTGCTAAATGCAGAACCACAGATGATTTAAAATGACAACTCCTCTAAAAGTGAGATTATAGGAATTCTTTGCTTAACCAGTTTAGATTGGAAAACTCTAAATTGGGGGTCTTATGTGAAGACTAAATAGAAGACACTATCCATGACTGCTCATCAATCACAGGGTATTTCAATTCACTATCTCTGCAGAAACAATAAAAGTGAGAATTACACCATTACTAACGTTAAATTTAGAAGAGGAACTAGAGAAATATGAAGAAGTTGGTTGCAACTTAGTTTCTTTTTAACAGAAAGAGTAAAGTCTTTACTGACTGTAAGACAACGATTAAAAGACAATATATTGAAAGTTCAAAAGGGAAGAATTTTAGGAAATCAGTCAGTTTGGAGGGGAAGCTATTAGAAGTAAGCAGGTGTCTTGTATAAATTTAAGCCATGATCAAAAGGAAAAACAAAAAGCTCAAGCTGTCAGGTTACAGCGGTGTGCAGTAAGGTAGTCAAATAGTATTAACATCATGTTTGCCTTGTTTTTGCACTTTTCCCTAAGCATTCATTATTGCTTACTATCAGAGGCATGCTGCTAGAACAGACTGACCTTTTATTTGATCCAGTACAATCATTTTTATATTCACACTTTGTATGCACTACATGTTGAATTTGAAACACAAGGCTTAGTTGGGAAATTTACACTTGAACCTCATCTTGATGTTATAACATTTTTCATAAAAATATGCTGATCCATGATACTGGTGTTGGATTTTTGCTTGCTCAAAGTGTTCCAAAATTTTATTTAGAAACTAGATCGAAAAGAAAACAACAGCCCACTCCCCCACAAAACCCAGATCTGCTCTCCTAACTTGTAATACGTACAAATCTTCCTAGACAGTTTTTCTAGTAATACTTTAGCCGAGTCTAAGCCAAAAAACATTTAAGCACAACAGTAACTATATAATTAGCCCTACAGAAGTCAACGAATGTATAAAATTAAAACTGTTCAGACCTGATCCTAAAGATACACTTTTAGCCGATCTAAACACAAATCTGAGATCAACACACAAAACATGGGTAAAATTTATTAGTCTATCAGATGCAAGATGATTCTGGAGAAGAAAAAAACCTAAAAGTCTCAAACACTGCAGAAACACCTGCATATAGTGACTCCAGGAGGCAGAAGTTTTCCATGTCCACAAAACACTCAGTCATCTTATAATTCAAATCTTGTGACGGTTAAAATTTATATTGAACAATAACAGCATTAAAAAAACCCTCAGTTTAATTATATTTCACACAGTGATTATTAATTGACTTGACAGGCCAATGATACCAAAGAAATACAGGCAGGCAAACGTTCTTTCTTAGTGTAACGCTCCAAAGCCTTATGTCCTACCAACTATTCTTCTGTTACACAAATATCCCGTCTTTCTTTTTCTCCCATCTCAAACAGAAAGCCAAGTCTCCCTCCTTGAGGAACGTCCTATAAAGAGAAAATTATCAGATTTGCATTCTGTCTGATAGGGTTCCAAGAGTGATATTAGCAACACAGCTTTACTTTGCAAGCAACGCAGGCTTTACTAATGTGTCACCTTCTCCCACAAGTAAGGACATTAGACTTCAAACACCTTTAACTTCACAGTCAACCATGGTAAATGATGGGCATTATTTGTACCACAACATTCAAGGA